CATCCATGTCTGTTTACCGCCAGCAAAAGGTTCCAAGCCGCATGTGATTCAATTCATGAGCATTCCCGGAAGATCGTTAGACATCGCCGGAAGTTGCTGGAGACAGAAGACCCCGGATGCAGGCCGATGGATTTCCTCGATATTCTGATGACGTCAAAGGTTGCCACATTGTCTGTTATCAGTGATGAAAATAATAGTATACTGAACAACAAAAGAAATGCAAGTCTGGCCTTTGTTATGTTTTTGAATAGAACACAACCAAAATTATGTCTAATTATTTATTCTATAGAAAACACTGTCAATGTAACAGCTAAAAGTTGCTGTTGACATTGAATTGCAATAAGTTCAAATTGGTCATAGTCCGTCAAATGGAGATACCCCTTGAACGCGAAAAGTGACAGTCTCTTTAGTAGCGCATAGCCACCTTGAGCTTGCACACAGGCCGTGCAACGTGGGATCATTGAGTTCACTAGAGTCTGAAAGAATGCCTGAGGCAATTGGTTCCCCTCAAACACCAATCTCTATTCCAATTGTGCAAGTCTGAGTGGCTGTCTACCTGCAGTAATCCTCCGTCCAATTTCGTCCCAGAATGTTCAATGGGAGCCACAACCGTGTAAAGAGACGGCCATGGAAGAATGTTAATGTTGTTCTGTGCCAGATAATCCATCGACACCCTTGCTTTGTGAGGGCTGCAAACGTCGCTGGCGTTGTTGTCGTGCTAAAATTGGCCCCACATATGGCCATCGGCAGTGGATTCCATCAGCCCGAAGACGACGCCTAATCGTATCGCTTGGTACTGCTCCCCTTGACCCGAGAACTAAGGCTGCTGTTACTGTTGCTGTTTGAGTTCGATTCCTTAGATGAGTTGTCACTCGTTGCCGTCCGGTACGGGGACGATCAGCAGCAACCCCAATTTGCTGATGACGTTGAGCAAATCGTGTAATGGTGGAAAGATTGTCTAGCTACAGCGGTTGCAGAGCTACCTCCGTGCAACTTTCCAATGGGCATTCCCCTCTGCTCAGTCGTTAGTCTAGGCATCGTTTGTGTGGCGTTCACCTCTTAGAATCAATACTGGACTGTTTTTTGACACAAGCCTTTATAAAGGATAACTCAGAGTGAAATGCATGCTTCTCATCCAGAACCGTCGATACACGTGCTAAAATTATGGTTTTGCTGCGCTGTTAGTATGTTTGTGCGAATGGTTCGTATGGACGTCAAACTGCATGACATCATCTCATCGGGGATCATTACGTCACTTTACCATGAACGCTCCATAAACATGAACGCTTACCTTCATGAAATTTCATTTTTTTCGAAACTTGCGTTTCTTTTGCTGTTCAGTATACTTTGATAAATCTAGAATGTCCTTCTAAGTTCATATGGCAGGTTAGCCCAAAGAGTGGCAGCTAGTTATCTACTGAATGTCCGAACACTACAAGGCAACATTTGGCACATGTTCTATGTTTCAGGACAGTGACGGTCAGACTCTCAGCCAGCAGGAGATCCTTGACGAGGTGGACACCTTCATGTTCGCGGGTCATGATTCCACGTCCAGCTCCTTGACCTGGTGTCTCTGGCACCTCGCCAAACACACACAACACCAAGACACGTGCAGGGCGGAAGTTGATGACGTTATGGGGGACAGGGAGGATATCACGTGGTGAGTGTCGCTGCTTGGAGCGGTTACGTCGTGCTTGTTGTGGTTACGTCGTGCTTGTTGTTTAACGCGGAATCAGCAACACTGCAGCCATGCCGAACGGTCTGTAAATAATCTGGACCAGACAATCCACTGACTGACATCATTGGCATCGATATGAGATTTGGGGATAACCAACTCAAGCACGACAGGCAATCCCTTCACGTGTCTCTTTCGACAAGCATAGGTTCCTGAAAGCAAAATTAATTCTAACCTTGATATTTACGGGCTCATTTCTACGAGTACTCGTGATCGTATTAATGAACGTTGTTGCAGGAGCTGGAGGGTCACTCGTTTACAGAAATCGTAATGTACTGAGGGTTCTTTTTATTAAAATGTAGAATGTGAAAAGGAATAGCTGACGCTGATATACGGGTACATTGTGTCTGGGAGTTACGATCATGACGTTATTGCTAGACCAGCACCACGTTTGATACCTCTGCCGCAACGTGCGTAAATCACTGCTGGTTGGCCGCCTGTGTTTGTGACTGTTAATGTATAACCGGTAGGCTTTGATCCACATGAATCTTCATTCAAGTGTCATGTGTCCCCAGGGATGATGTCAGCAAGCTTGACTTTCTAACGATGTGTGTGAAAGAGAACATGCGTCTACTGCCACCTGTACCAAGTATCTCGCGCTTCACAGAAAGGGAGATAACTCTACCAGATGGTCGAGTTGTCCCGAAAGGTAATGTCCCCTTTCCTTCATAATAATACAGCAGTTGTCGTGAGATGGGTGTAACATTCTAATCTTCTTCAACAGTGACATTTTCTTCCCGATTCGAGTTACACACTGTACATAGATAGGAAACAGCATAGAAAGACAACCTTTGACCATGATCTTCATGTAATGTACAGGGATCAGGGTCACCGTGTCGCTGTTTGCGCTTCATAGAAACCCGGATGTGTGGCACGACCCCGAGGTATGGAAAACTTCTTTCTTAGTTGATTTCCACTTTGTTCTTGTTCGTGTATATATCTTTGAATATTATATTTCCGTACGCTTTTGCTCTGTACAGAACTGTACATACAAATCACTGACGATATCATTATCAATTTACACCATTTCAATTAGTCCCTCCGAATGGTACCGATCACCCCCATTTCAGGGGTCTGGCCCATGGACTACATCCTGTAAAGTGGAACCTCCTTAATGATTAGGAGACCCGTTAACCCGGAACCCAACATCCTTAGAATTACTGTCTTGGACGTCTGCATATGTCATTCTGTAAATGTCAGTAACTGGTACCATAGGGCATTACTTGGTACCATGGTTCTTTACTCAGTACCACCCTGACCATTGTGTGTCCACTATATATAGATAGATTAATTTTTTTCAGGTGTTTGATCCTTACCGCTTCTCAAACGAGGAGATGGGTGCATCAGACTTCTTCCTGACGTTTTCGATGGGACCCAGGTAATGTTTCTTATTGACAGTGTCTAAACAATCTTACTCTGAAGATGGTTTGGGGTTGTTGTTTTACGCCGCATTAAAACAAATGCAACGATTATCAAGTGCTCGTGATTGACGTCAGGAACAACGATTTGCCTGGTGAACTATGGCACACTTGGAAGCAAGTCTCCGTGCCTGACCACCGTATTTCCTTGTCGGTTCAGCATGGCTTGCTCGGGACATATTCTAACCGTCCATACGTGTCCTAGCACATGGAAACATAGCGAGGAAAAGCTCGAAAACGTTTAAAATCCACCGGTGGCGTGTATTTATTCCAGTTAATTTAATTACCCATTATTATTATTATCAAATTATACTTGTTTTAAAAAATCATAATATTTTCCAGGCGATGTGTGGGGAAGTCATTCGCCATGCTCCAAGTCAAGCTCGTGATAGCTATGCTATTACGTCACTTCCGGTTTAGCATCATCCCTGGGAAACCTGCGCAGCCAGAGAGTTCGCTGATTCTGCGCAGTAAAGATGGTGTGTACTTGAATGTGGAAAGCCTCCGTTCCTGAGCAAGAGGCCCGGATCGAACAACATTCGTTCCAGCTTTTGGTTGAATAAATATGATAAATAAATACCCCGAAACTGTGTCCTATCTTGTTCATGTTGCTTCTATAGATCATCATCACATTATTGTATGATATTTTTGGTTCGTGGACCCTTAACCGAGGATATAAGTCTGTCAGTTTACAAATGCCCTCGACGATGTTTGAAAGCCTTGCTGATACCTTAGAATGTTGTAGTAGTGGTGGAATTGGGTTTAACGTCGTGCTTGAGAATATTTCGCTCATATGACGACGTGCATGCGTGTGTATATGTATGTGCGGCTGCTTGTACTAGCCCAGACTGAAGCTTGGTTTATAGTGCTAGCCCACTGAGATACCATGCCGCAGTGAAGCATGAATACCCCACTCAGACACATTATACTGACTCCGAGCCGACCGGTCCTTGTTGTGCCCATTAATGCCGAGTGCCAGGCAGGGACCAACAAGTACCATATTTTAACGTCTTTTGGTATGACGTAGTCGGGGATCGAACCCGCGACCTTCCGCACTCCGGGCGGACGCTCTAACCACTCCACCACGGAGGCGGTCTTGAATGTTGTAACCATGATCAAACAACATATCGCGTTGCAGATATAAACTGTGCCCCGTCCAACGCTGTTATCATCTGGGCATGAACGACCTTTGATACGCCTACATGCTTACAAAGTACAGGAAATTAGGCGGCCATAATATATATAATACGTGTGAACTTTGTGTCAGCCCATCCAGTACCTGGTATAATAGTCGGGTTGACACAACGAGAAGAGAGATTTGTGCGAGGGCGCAACACACTGAAAACACTTTTTAGCGACGATATCGATGACGTTCAGATAACACGGTTTATGTTCTAACGTTAACCTCCTCATTAGCAACATAAAAATGCAAACTAAGCACTTTACGTTGTACGTTCAATGTTGATATAATGACTACATACATACAGAAAGTATTATGGATGCTCAACAATAGTTGGTATGATTAGGTTTACTCACAGTAAACTTTGTAATAGCACTCTCTTTGTCTTTGAGGAATTTACATATTTTGACGTTTTAATTTGAACTGAAGACGGAACTTAGGGGGGGGGGAGGAGAGAAGTTCGACGATTGGGTAACTAAAGGTTTCGCTCACCACGCCGAAGGCAAGAGTTCGAATCCCGTAAAACCATACTTACTCAATCACTCGCTCATTCACGAACCTTAGAGGCTAAATCTAAATATTTTACGTCTGTGTCTAGGCTTTCTAGAGGTGCAAAATCATGACAAGTGACAGAAGGTTTATCGGAAAGAACACACAATAAGTACGGTTCACCTTGGAGGTATTTTATGAGGTTTGCAGCGCAAAGCCCGCGTTAATCTGTGTTCTTCACACTGGGCTTGTCAACCATGCAGCTCAGACTGCTGTCCTTGTTTTGCGTGTCTTCATATGCCCTTCCTCTCACAGAGGGTTAATGCGGATGACCTTTTTCTCGTCTTTAGTCAGTGGGATCCAGTCAAGGTAGCCAAGACGCGTTCCGTTAGAGGCGTAGACAACGACGGTTCTGCAACACAACATTAATCATGTACAGACCCGTAAAATCCGGGTTAGAACTGGCCTTCAGTAACCCATGCTTGTCGTAAGAGGTGACTAACGGGATCGGATGGTCAGGCTCGCTGGCTTGGTTGACACATGTCATCGGTTCCCAATTGCGTAGATAGATGCGCATGATGTTGATCACTGGGTTGTCTGGCCAGACTCGATTTCTTACAGACTGTCGCCATATAGCTAGAATATTGCTGAGTGTGATGTTTATCAACAAACAAATGATCATGTACAGAACAAAGATAATAACCAATTTATAAGAACCCATGTACTTTGGATGGAACAAAGATTCATCAAAGACGTATTTACGTCTTTGGTTTTATTAACTGGAGTTCCTTTTATATGTATGCTTGAAAAAGTTGCATTAGCGTATGCTTATTGCTAGAGCCGTACTCAACAATGTAACACTTGTAAGACGGCGGCTTGTGAATACTCGAGTCTGGACCAGACAATCTTGTGACTGAACAAAGATTTCCGCTGTCGGGCCATGATGACACACTATCAAACAAGTTACAGAGAAAGACCACCTGATCCATTTAGTCGTCTCTTTTGAGTGAGTGAGTGGGTTGGCTTTTACGCAATATTCCAGCAATATCACGGTGGGGGACACCAGAAATGGGCTTCACACACTACCCATGTGGGAATCGAAACCGGGCGGCTAGACGAGCAAACGCTTTAACCACAAGGCTACCTTAATGCCCCGTCGTATCTAGTGGCCTGCTTAGGTCGGTTCGAATCCCAGAGTGAGTGAAGGAGATTAATTTTACTCCGCTTTTAGCAATATTCCAGCAATATCACGGCGGGGCGGAATCCCAGAGTGTGTGCCTGTTGTAAGGCTCGAATATAATATACATTTTGTTTCATATTTGTGTATGATTCAGCTTACTCTAATCGTTTGTCGTTGGTCAAGAAGATCCTGCCAGTTCGGGGGTCGTAGACGGTGTGGGTCTGTGAGTGGCTGATTCTGCCTGGGAATATCAATTGTGACTCCCCGGTGTCCAGTGACATCTTGTACAAGCCCCTGTAGCCGTCACTGTAGAGGGTGCGGGCTGCAAACAGAATGTTACATCATAAGAGTCGTGTGAGTGAGTTGGATTTTACGCCGCTTTTAGCAATATCACGGCGGGGGACACCAGAAATGGGTACCCAAGTGGGGAATCGAACCAGGGCATTCGGCGTGATGAGCGAACGCTTTAACCACTAGGCTGCCCAACCGCTCCAAATAGTCGAGTATCGAGTGCAGTCCGTGTATCAACATAATTTCAACTACATAGAGTCAGGTACGCCTGATGGAGGCGGTGTCTTTATGGATTGAAATAGCTTTAAATATGAACGTACTTACCAATGGTAAAATTAGTGTTTAAAGGTGAGTGGAGCAAACTTTCGCAAAGGTTATTACATTTTAACCATATGAAGACAAGAACCCGCATACAGCGCGACAAAGCACACCTTAACCATTGGGCCACCTACTCACAAAACGCAAGAAGGGTGTAGTCATTGTTGTTCACTGAAGTGAGCGAGCGAATATTCCTTATGCTGCATAAGCAGTTTGGCAACAATGTGGTTTGTTTTGCAATAGTTTTCACAATGAAACTGCAGTTGAAAGATATACCACTTTCAAGTGTACAAAAATGACTGTTGCCATAAAAAGCTGTATGTTGACATAGAATTTGATGTCTTTTAGATATGTGAGGTTAGAAAAAGGTTCAAAAAGTCTAGATAGGTTAGGAACATCATCATAAAGACGTCTGATAAGTGCAAGACCAACACATTCAACAAGCTATATATGTTTGATACTGGTGGTATGCAACAAGGGCTGAACGAGGAGGCAAGGAAAACTCAGATGTGTACAGTAGCTTTTAATGACAGCAAGATATTTTTAGGATGGTTATGGAGACTTACTGGTGAAGTCAATGGAATGCGGGCTTTTGTTCTGGTTTATTTCATGCGGAAATCTTTCTATTCCAGTCCCATCATAGCGCATCCTGTACATCCAGCCACAGGCACACGACTCCATCCAGTACAGATACCTGGGGGTACAAACACCGTGTTAGCGTGTTATAACTATAGTCTGTTTGCAGTGAAAAAGTACCGATGAATTTAAACAAAAACGTAAATCGAATAAAGTGAAATTAAGATTGTGAATCCTGATAATTTTACCCTGACGATTGAACATCTAAATCTCAGAATTTTATTCAACTTAGGATAAAAGTTGTTTAACAAACGATCATAGATTCAAATCGCTATTATTAGTTTGTAAGGGGGTAAGCGCAGTAATTTGAACAGTGAAACAAGTGCACGTGTGGTACGTGATGAGCGTTAACTTCCACCAACGCTGCATGTTCTCGGTTTTTCATTTAATGCGCATACCCCCTTGTAATACAAACCAATAATAGCGATTATTGGCAAGGTAAAATTATGAGGATTCGCAATCTTTATTTGATTTACTTTTTTGTGTAAAGTGAAATTCATCGGTACGTTTTCACTGCAAACAGACTATATAAATTCTAGCTGGATGTCGAACATACGGTTGTCTGGAAGTAAATTCCTGTACATTCCTTATTAGGCAGTCGTATGCGGTTGTGTCAAACATCGCCGGATAACGCGAAGTCTTTACGTAGGTCCCTTCAACTTCAACACTACTGGTTATAATGTTTGGGCACTTTTCCTACTTTTAACTTTGTATGTTTGTAAGTATTTTCCCATAAAATGTGTATCAATCGTGTCCTGTCCAATATGGTAGTCCTGGCGAAACAAGCTTCCATTGCCACAGAAATCATTTCACCACAAAGCAAGTCTACAAGATCATGAACAACATACTAAAAGTAGTAAGCAGTCTCAATTTAGGAAATGTGTCTTATTTACTGTCTTGGTACCAAACGTGAATATAGTCTGCTATTTCCAGGAACCACAGGTCGCCATTTTGTAACCAACATTGTCACTGTTGAGGGATTATTTCCACAAGTATTCCATTCCCGATAAATCAGGGCGTTATGTACGTGGTTTGAAACGCAGAAGGATCCGGTGTTACCGTTGCCGGTCTACCCACCTGTTTTGGAAGTCGACAGCCATGCGAAAAGGATCCCATGTCCGCTCGGCCAAATCTGTCTTTCCACTGCCGTCAATTCCCATGGACAGGATCTTGTTATTGCTTCGGTCGGAGGTGCCCACAAAGATGATCTTTTCATTTGACTCCACGGCCATTGTTTGTGCTGTTGATGATTAGTTAATAATACTAATAATATAGTTAATATATATATATAGTCGGAGTGAATAAATACAGATCAGTTTCCATAGCTACAACCTCTTAGAGAATTTGACAGTTTGATTTTGAAACATATTCCACATAATTCACTTTAAAGTTTTCAATGCAGTCCAGTCACAAATTGTCAGTCTACAATAAAATGCATCAACTCCTCGAAAACTCCACTGATACTTCTAAACTTTAGATTAATGTTAATGTTTCAATTATTGAAATACTTACGGTATGCCCCTTCGTACGGAATTCTTCTTTCGTCGGTACCATTGACAAATATCGACATGAACTCTTTCAGGTAACTGAGAATATAAATCCGGTCGTCGACGAAGTCGTAGTCCATGTCGGAGACGCTGCCGAGGGAGGGGATGTTGAAGGTTTCAATATGGTGGTCGGATAGATCCGAGCCAACATCCACACGGAAGACATTCTTTGTACCTTTGTCCAACACAACCATACGGGTTCGTGGAGCTGTAGACAGATATAGTAGGTAGTTTGTAGGACACCCCCTACACATTACAGTTTACAATACATTTAATACTAGGAGCGAAGACCCGGGTTCGATTCCCCACATGGGTACAATGTGTGAAGCCCATTTCTGGTGTCCCCCGCCGTGATATTGCTAAGACCGTCGTAAAACTCAACTCTCACTTGTATGGAATCCTGGAAGGAACATTGTCGCGTTGTCGCATTGTCGTTGTCGCCCTTGCAAAAATGAGGCAAAATTAACCAAAATGCGACACGCGACATACGCGACATTTCGTTGTGTCGCGTTGTCGCGTGTCGCGTAAACAATAAAACAATGTCAATACACTTGATTGGACAAACGTTGAAAACCATATGAATTAACAAATGGAGTAGCCTTTACCTCACTCAGCCATATTCCAGGTTTGTATCTCTGACAACCTAGTGAGTGATATTGTGAGCACGATCCCCGCCGCCAGGGCACGATGACACGCTCCCAACCAATCCACCGAGACACACCATTCGACCCACCCGAAGTAGGCTTCGAAAAATGTATCAATGTGGGGAATCGAATCCGAGTCGTTAGCGAGACGGGCAAACGCGTTAACCACTAGGCCACCCCACCGTCCCCTAAACAGTGTTCGTAATAGTTTAGAAATTTTGCTAGCCAGTCGGGCTAGCTATGCCTGAAAGTAACTATCTCACAGAATAATTCACTAGTCCGAAATTTGAATGTAGACACGAGTTTCATCATTAAGCTACTAATATGATGATCATTCTTATCAAGCCATAATCTTGTATAATTTAAAAGTGTGTTATAATTAACAAGTCGGAGAGAGTGATATATTTACAAAATAACCCCATGAAAATACACTAGCCAGTCGGGCCAGTGACTGGAGATTTACTGGCCCGACTGGATGTTTACTAGCCACGGGCTAGCGGGCCAGAGGCTATTTCGCACACTGCCCCCAAATAAGTAGAATGCAGTGTCCAGTGTATAATCAGATGCACATACGCAAGTTACGGGTCTTGACAGATGCTAAATATGTCTTTACCTTGGACTTAATTAACCGTGCGACATCGGCTATCACTGATAAGAATATGGTATGTACATCATCAGCGACAACAGGTGAGGCGAGGTGACGAGATCAGGATATATTCAAAAGAAAATGTTGCAATAGTGTATATTTTACTGAACTTAACACTATACCTAAACAGACTACACACGTATAACAACTGAACTGTGAATGCACAATGCATTTCAGAAAGTGGTCAAATGTAACATATGTAAATGTCAGTTATATTTGGGATAACACTTTCTCAGTAAAGTACAGATTCTAATACTTTTGTTGGTTTCGAATCCCGAATGGGACTCAACCCAACAAAAATACTAGAATCCGTAGAAAGCGTAATCCCGAAAATAACATGTGTTACACTCAACTGAAGTGCAAGGAATAGTCAACCCAACAAAATTACTAGAATCTGGAATAGTAAGCAATATGTGTGAGGTTATAACGCCTTTGTACAATAATGTTCCTTTCAACAGATTGTTTTATTAAAAAACAACAATATTCTACAAATTCGACTTTAAAGTAAGGACTAAATGAAACAGTGAGCTATGACAGACCTTCCTCCTGTCCCCTGACCCCCCCGAGCACCAGGACCGTCACGACCACAAGGACCCACGGTGACATGCTGTAAGCTGGACGTTGACTCCACTACTTCACCCTCATCCCTCCTTTATATGGGACCAGCATCCCCGTCCGTGGTGGGCTCAGAACGTCACCACCGAAATGTCATTGCATGTGGTGATAAAGGGCAAACTGCTTCAGGTTACAGCTGATGTGTCAAACAGATTTTTAGATGAGTTCCCATTTGATGGAGTATTTTTATACCAGTGTAAATAAGGCGATCGCGAGTTGTAATGAAAACTGTATTTGACGGGACGCGGGTTGTAGCATAGTTGTTACTTTTGAGTGAGTGAGTGAGTGAGTTTGATTTTACGTCACTTCTAGCAATATTACGAAATATATTTTACAGAAAAAAAATCTTCATAAAAATAATTATAACATATAATGAAAAGGAGCCCAGAGACTTTCTTCATTTTCAGACATCTAGACTTGCCACGTATTCTAGACTGGGTTTCATGGATATATTTGTTTCAGGCGGGGTTCACCAGAAATTGGCTTCACTCACTGTAACCATGAGGGGAATCGAACCCGGGTATTCGGCGAACCCTTTAACCAATAGGCTATCCCAACCCCCCTGTTAAGTTTGAACTTAATCTAACATAACAGAAACGTATTTCTCTAAGACCGGGAATCTCGCTACAGCTGTATAAAGTGCAGTCAGCCTAAACTTTTGCCATTGGACATGGGTTTGCAAGGTTACACATTCAAGTTCAGAGATGACAAAACTGTATGGATGATCAACTTCTTTATTTTGCACAATAGCAACGTTTCGGTATAGATCAGCATATATATGCTTGAAAAAGGTATAAGAATCTATACCGTGATGTCGATATGTGAAAATAAAGACGTTGGTCATCCATAAAGTTTTGTCATCTCTATACCACCAACTTCTAGAATGTCACTCAGACAAATACAACAGCTTCATTCCAGAGAACTGAGAGCTGGCGTTACAAATTAATTATCTCTGACATTTATATACTAGGCACATAAAGAAAAAGGGCATACAAAAATTTATAATCTAAATTTATCAAACCTGTGTAGACACATAAGGATTTAAACTCAGAGATTAGTGACATGTATCCAACATGCATGCACGTGCCACGTTCCGTGACGTCAGTGGGTTCGTCCTTGAGACGTGCAATACGTTGTTGCACGTGCATTCCGGGAAAGAGAAACAGAGCAAATGAATGCCACACAATACACTGTCACTTTGGAAAGCTCAACCCCTGCCTTTGCGATCGTTCAAAAAATTAAACGGCTATTGAAACGCATAGCATGCCAAGGCTCACGTCTGCACAACGTCATGAGGCCATTGGGATGGTCCGTGGGGGAATGTCTCAACGACAAGTGGCTGCACATTTCCACTGCCACCGTAACACCATTTCTGCACTGGTGAGACGCTACCAGAACACAAATGACGTCATCGATCGGCCACGTTCTGGACGTCCACGTGTAACAATTCCTTTTCTGCAACGTAATGGCCCTGGGTTAACATTCCAACAGGACAATGCCCGCCCTCATACGGCAAGGGTTGCTATGGATTTCTTGCAACACCACAACGTTGACTTATTGCCTTGGCCTGCAAATTCACCGGATCTCTCCCCGATAGAGCATGTTTGGGACGAGATGGATCGACGTCTACGCCGTCTTCCTCATCCGCCAGATAACGTCCTTGACCTTGCAACAGAACTTGAGAGAATCTGGCGTGACATCCCACAAGCCTTCCTTGCATGTTTGATAGGCTCTATGCGCCGTCGATGCGCTGCTGTTCTCAATGCCGATGGTGGACATACCCGTTATTGAGCTTGTGACATGGTCGTTTGACCCCTGTCCCGCTTGTGGACTCGTGACGTCATTGTGATTGACTTTTCAATTGAAATTCTCCCGACTTGTTGTGGTCTCATGATCCCTCCATTAAAGTTTATATGTACCTTTGACATTGTTATCGTACTTATCAACTGGGATAATATTTTGACAATGCACAGTTTCTTTATGTGCCTAGCATATAATCGAATCGAACCCAGGTCTGTAACCACCGCCCCGCCAATCGGATGACTTGGTGAGTCCGAATTAGGACAAGAAGGAAACATATACTTTCGGGTATCAATTTTGCTACATTATTTCCGTTCTATGTAACTGTAACATCGACGCTTTTAGCAATATTCCAGCAATATCACGGCGGGGGACACCAGAAATGGGCTTCACACATTGTACCCATGTGGGGATTCGAACCCGGGTCTTCGGCGTGACGAGCCAACGCTTTAACCACTAGGCTACCCCACCGCCCTGAAGATACCGTCTTTTTTTAGCATACTTGTTGCAATCACAAGAGTGAAACAATTCGTCTTTTTGTGTATCTATTTCATATAAACGCGTAAATATGAGAGGTTTCTTATGGCCATCAGCAGTATCTGATATGATAGTCTATACTTAACACACATCACTGTTCTACCGTGTGTGTTGTTTTCATTCATGGTGTGATTGGGGACAAATGTGCCTTGGAAGCTGTTCGTTTCTGGGACGGTGGGGTAGCCTAGTGGTTAAAGCGTTCTCTCGTCACGCTGAAGGCGCGGGTTCGATTCCTTTCATGTGTGAGGCCCATGTCTGGTGTCCCCCGCCGTGATATTGCTGGAATATTGCTAAAAGCGGCGTAAACCATGCTCACTTGCTGTTAGTTTGTTGGGGTTTTTTCCGAATGAGAATATTTTACAACCTCTTCTCAAAAGTGTGCGTGTGTATATATGTGGCTATGGAAGTGGCTATAAAATGCCTATGTTCTGATGAAAAAACCTCTGTTGGCTTCTTCTTGAAAAGTGATTGCCAAAGTATAACTCGTACTTTACATAGTAATAATTGGTGATAATATAACCTCCCTTTGAAGACTTTCAGAACGAAATATGGACGTTGCCTGCATTATATTGTAAAGGAAATGGTTTTACGCTTTTCCTGCTGATATGACGGCGGTCTGTAAATAATTGAGTCTGGGCCAGACAATCCAGTGATTTACATCATGAGCATCAACATACGAATGACATGCAACCAATGCTGCGAACCTGACACCCGAAACAATTGGTTGCCTCCTAGAGCAATATTCAAGCTATATGAGGGTGAATAATCTAGTCTGGGCCAGGCGATCCAGTGACTGACTGCATCAGCATTCATCTACACAATTGGTATACGGTCACATGCATCAACTCAGTCAGCCAGCCTGATCAGGTTAGTCGCGTCTTACGACAAGCATGCGTTGCTGAAGACTTTCTAACCCGGGGTCTCCACGGGTCTTGCATCAGTATAGTAAGCAAGTTCCCTGTGAAGATCAGGGTTAGAACTGGCCTTCATCAACCCGTACTTGTCGTAAGAGGCGACAAACGAGATCGGGTGGTTGGGCTCGCTGACTTGATTGAGACATGCCGTATCCCAATTGCGTAGATCGATGCTCATAATGTTGATCACAGGACTGTCTGGTCCAAACTCGATTATTTACAGATCACCAAAACTAAGCTAGTAAAGAGTTGTGCCCTTTTGAGCAATACTGGGCCCTGTTCAACAGTGCGAGTGCATGGATACGATAACCGTAAGTCTATGTTAAATTATGGAGTTACTGTCACCTCATCTACGACAGCTTTGTTGGACTTGACCCATCTACAAACCGTCGGGGAACACCAAGAGAAGGACTTCACACTGTGAATACTTGTTGGGATTCGATTCCTGGTCTTCTCCGTGACGAGCAACATCTTTAGTCCAGTGGACCGTCCATCGCTGAGAATATTCTCAGAATACGGGGGCGGTGGGGTAGCCTAGTGGTTAAAGCGTTGGCTCGTCACGCCGAAGACCCGGGTTCGATTCCCCACATGGGCACAATATGTGAAGCCCATTTCTGGTGTCCCCCGCCGTGATATTGCTGGAATATTGCTAAAAGCGGCGTTTAACCATACTCACTCACTCAGAATACGAGTTCTACCCTACATGTATGGCTGTCCGTTGTACTCCATGCCCCAGCGTTAGGGAGCTTCATATGGACACAGAGGGGTATCAAAAGAATTCCTTCTCCTTGGAGCGTTCATATAAAGCGAAAGTAGTAACTGTTCCAGGTACGGCTTACGAATACTTGACCGATCGGATCAACACCTGACAGAGCTGTTGTATGTATATCTATGTATTGTCGTCTTGTACAATGTTGGCGATTAATCCCCCATAAAGTCAGGGCTGGCGTACCAAGCGGTACTTTGTTGTACACATGTATAACAGTTGAACGGAGTTGCATGTGAACGTTAACTACAAGTTCTCTGTTCCAGTTCCATTCTCCAAGCAATAAACAGCTGAGATATATTTTAAACGTGTCTGACTCATATCACGTGTCTTGTGCAGGGTAACAGTGTTATGGCAGGGTGTGGACGGCGGTTGGAGTACATTTATGCCCGCGTATATACATGAGAATTAATGCTGCACACAAAAGTAAGGACCTCTGACCTGTTTACTTCACTTGTGTATTAGCAATATAAATAAACGCACGTAAATTCTGGGCTGTTTTTGTAAGGAGGGAGACCCTGTTAATAGATAAACAGAATATGACTCATGGCTTGAATGATACTGGGGCTCTTGGGATCCTAATAGCTAAATTTTCGCACATTACACCAAGGTATTAGATAGTTAGTGGTGGTGTTAGTGAGTGAGTGGGTTTGGTTTTGCGCCGGTTTTAGCAATATTCCAGCAATATCACTGCGGGGGACACCAAAAATGGGTTTCACAGAATGTACCCATGTGGAGAATCAAACCCGGGTCTACGGCGTGACGAACGAACGCTTTAACCACGAGGCTATCCCACCGCACCCGTTCCTCGTGATAGTATAACCCCGCCGGACTCGGGTCTGAATTGTAACCAAGCAGACAATGCTCATAAAAAGAGGCGACCAAGTCGATCGGGTGGTGTGTCCCGGTGGATTGGTTGGGAGCGTGTCATTGTGCCCCGTGTCGTGCTCACAATATCAACCACTAGATTGTCTGGTAGAGACACATACCTGGAATATGGCTGAGTGAGGTAAAGGTGACACTTTTATTGCTT